GGGTAGAGAACGTATACGATGAGGTCGCCATCAGGCTGGCCAACAACTCAGTCGTGGTCGTCGAGGACCCGGCCGAGCTGGAACAGGACGACACCACTCTCGAGCGGCTCAGCGTGGGCGACACAGTCAAGACCAAAAAAGGCAACCTGCGGCGAGGAAACTGGAGATTCGGCGCATACGATCCGAGCGTGCCGCCCGTGGGCATGGTAGTCGAGACAAGAGCATCTGAGATCGACGTGCAGTGGCTAGCAAGAAGTATTGGCGCGCGCAATGTCGCCTTCAATGCAGACGAGCCTCCGGCGACGATCGGTCGAGACGAATTCGAGAGCCCCAACTTCTACCGATACGATGCCTCAGGAGGTACCGCCACAACACTGCCCGTCTCCGAAAATGGTGTCGACAAATCATACCATGTTACCGATGTGGCCGTGGGTGATCGGGTACGGTTCAAGGACATCGCCGGCGCTGCTGTAAAGTACGACGGCACGAGGGAACTACCCAACGGATATCCACAAGGGAAGGTGACACGCATCGCGCGGACGGAAAGCCTGGGATACGATCTCAATGTCTTCTTAGTGATGCAGACACATAGTCGGGTCACCGTTCAATGGCAAGACCTGTCCATAACGCACGATCTCAGCTCTTCTCTACTGCCGGACCCCAATGTAGAAGACGACGACGAGGTCTGGCCGGGTGAAGTCGTCTTCTCTAAAGAGAACCGCGACGGGGATAACGCTGATGACACTGCGACAAAGAAGCCTTCGAAAGTGGGTGTGGTTCAGACAGTCAAGGGCCGAGATCGGATAGCCACTGTGCGATGGTTCAAGAATCCTTCCATCGAGTTCTTCGGCCCAGACCTACTTCCTCCGTCAAGCACAGGAGAATTGCTCGAGACCGTTGAAGACGTCAGTCTATACGACATTTACTCTTTTCCAGCACTAACTCGAAGGCGTGGCGACTTTGTACTTGTACATCCAGACTCGATCGAAGGTGTACAGACACCACTCAATGTCACTGGCCCCGACTGGTTTGGAGAGGTCATTGACTTGGGTCTAGATGGAAAGCTCACCGTCCGCCTTGGCGCAGCAAAGCCTGTTGTAGATGTCAAGGTTCCCTACGAACGCGTCACTCTTGCCTACAGCAGCGACATGGCTGATGATTTCGGTAACATGGATCCACTAGAGGGTGAATACATCGACGATTCTGACGAGAGCGATGAGAGCGATTTCGACACGGCGTCATTCAACGAGATGTGGATCGAGTATGAGGGCATGGATGGCGAACAGCCCGTTGGCGACGAAGGCGACTGGTCGACAGAGGATGAGGACGAAGAGGAAGAAGATGATGGCAACACGGATACATCGATGCCCGATCTTGTCGACATCACGAAAGAAGTCGATACATCGAAGACCACTCCAGAAGAGCAGCCTGATGAAGAGGGTGGAATAGCGCTGGATGATCATACAGAACAGCCCACAGATGGCCCGGCTTCTTTCCTTATCCTTGAAGACGCCCCACCGGCGTCCCACCACTACATATCCCAGTCATCAGCTTCATCATCAGCTTTCATGCGCCGGATAGCAAAAGAGCACAAGATCCTCCGAAGCTCACTCCCACCAGGCATCTTCGTCCGCACATGGGAGTCGCGATTAGATCTCCTCCGCGTCCTCATGATCGGCCCCAACGACACACCTTACGAGTACGCGCCTTTCGTCATCGACTTCCACCTCGGATCAGCATACCCACAAGAAGCACCATCAGCCTTTTTCCATAGCTGGACAAACGGCAACGGACCTGTCAACCCAAACCTATACGAAGATGGCAAGATTTGTCTGAGTCTACTGGGCACATGGCACACAGATGAGCGGAACGAGAGCTGGAGTCCCGCGAAGAGCACGCTACTACAGGTTTTAGTTTCCATTATGGGACTTGTGCTGGTCAAGGAACCTTACTACAACGAAGCTGGCTACGATGTCCATCGCTCAGCGCCAGAGACCAAGCTCAGCTCTGCGCTCTACACTGAACGCGCCTACTTCCGTGCTCGCGCATTCATACACCACGCACTCACGCATGAGGTCGCCCCGTTCAAGGAGGAGCTACAGTACCTCTACCGCAGCCAAGAAGACGGCGCGCCAAAACTCCTCGACAAGGCCATCGAAGCTGCCAAGGACGTTGTCGAGCAAAGCGCCGAGGGTAGTGAGGAGGGTGAGCGTGATGGACTCAGGAAGATCAGTCTGGGTGCGCTTGTTATGCTGAGGAGGCAGGTTGAGAAGTTAGAAGCGCTAAAGCAGGCGAGTACATGAGGAGGACGACTGTTATGACAGATGCTGGCTTGGCGTCGTGTCACTGTATTAGATCTTCGCATCGGGACACGCATGGCGCTTTACTATGAAAGTAAGATAGTGAAGCAGGAGAAATGTAAAACATACTTCAAGGTGCCCGTCACCCTGGTCTTGATCGTGACTCTGGATATCTGGATTGGACCATCCCATTCAAGGAACAAGCTGGACATGTATTACCTAAGAGTCTACATTACCTTTGGACATTGCGTAACTTTGACTTGTATACTAATGTAGCCGGCAAAGTACCTGTTCATTTCTTTTCTTTGTAGGACAGGATAATTTCTCTCACCGCTCTGTTAGCATTTCGTACACTCGGATATCCTCATTCGCTGTGTAATCGCTGTCTTCGTGGTCCCTTCAAGTCCCAGTGCCTCACCCGGGACACTTTGTGACCTCTTGTCACTGAGTTATCTCCCATTGTCTTCTCTGTCTTGCAATGTCTCCATCATACGCTGCATCCGCTGTTCCTTCCAACTTCCAAAGCGTGTCGATACATTCACAACCCATCATCTCCGCGCTCACGCGCTCTCACCTCCAGCTCACCATCTCTCCCACCGTCAACACTCTCGCCTAAACTCCCAAACCCGCACAGACTCTCCCGCCCACGCCCACAATGACGTGCGTCCTTCACCTCACATCGCAGCCCACCGCCTGACCCCCAAAATTGCTTGTGATAGGTCAATCGCGACATTCTCTAGGTATATAAAGCCCACCGCCGAAGAGATTCTCATTGAAACGAAGAAGACAGCAATGCGCATTACCGGCTAGTCTAGTCAGTTGTCTCACCCACACTGGCTATCAGCATTGCAGAGTCATACCCATGGTCGCTCGTGGGTTCGATTCACTACAGTTGACAACAGAAAGCACGCTATAGAGTACGACTCTGTGTTAGTAGGTTGTTGGCGCCATCATTTTGTTTTTGCCAATTCCTTTTTTTTTTATACCACAGCACGTTAACTTAGGAAGAATCTGAGTAGGTCTAGAGACTACATTGACGTTGGGCTAGCTACTTTGCAGGTTTTTGTGTTGATGTAGGCTGCAGACCTGTTTAGCTTTTTGGTTTGTATGAGGTCACAGCGTAAAAGGACAGTAGAAGATAGATATATCTCTACTATGTATGTGTTAGTCGGTCATGTCGAGGTGAGCGAGAATCGCGCGCGTTTGTATTTAGGCTGACAACCTACCTTCACTTACGATAAAGAACATGGCGTCACCAACGATCTACTCGTCGCGCGAGCAGCTCACCTTCACCTCGATTCCGTACCATAAAACCAACTTCTGTCGGCCGTACCAACCCTGCTTCTTACAATCTACACACCTATCTTTCCTCTCCCTCCCATCCTCAAGATGGCGCTTACCAACCAACAACTCCTCGACCTCCACAACAAAGCCGGTCACCTCCTCAAACACAAGCTATCCAAGCTCAAAATCCCCGGCCGCGTGTTCCCCTCAGGCCGCCTCCCCACCCTCCGCGACATCTACGAGAACCCGGAAGGCCTACATGTCCCTACCATCCCTCCAAGCCTCCAGCTCGACTTCGTGTTTGCCAACTACAACGACTTCGCCGCCGCCAACTTCCTCGCGCGAAAGAACGACCAAGACATCAAGGTCTGCATGGCAACATGGCATTGGCAGATCAGCCAGACACAGTCGTTCTCAAGTTGGCACAAGGAAATCCGTTTCAACGTACTCCTAGCCCATATCGTCCTCAACACGCCTAATGCGCGCAAGTTTCTCGCAGAGAAACTCATTGTATTCCTCGAACAGTTCGTCGGCGCATGGCTGGAAACGGCGATGCATATCGAGTACGACGGGAAGGAGAAGCGCGATTACTGGATCGCTCGACTTTGGCGCACAAGCCAGTATGATCTGGTACATTGGGGCAAGCAGGCTAGGGGCAGGATGGGTGTGGCGGTCAAAGCGCTCGAAGAGTGCGTTCCACCGCAGAAATACGCCACGGACGACTTTTGGAGCGTAGCCCGGCAGATGCCGGTGGAAGAGTACCAGAAACATGGATCTGCTTGGGCTATGCAGTTCATCATCTACAAGGAGAAGAAAGAGAAGGTTGTGGCGAAAGAACTTCAGAATGAGCACGCGCAAGACCAATTCTCAAAAGGCAATTTCTCGGGCTTTAGTAATCTCTCCATCGACGAGACGGTACCGAATTATCTCTCGGAAGAGCTGTTCAATCGGCCTTTGGTGAAAGCTCTTCTGGTGGATGTACGCAATATGCAGGTGCAGGTGCCTGAGAAGTTCGCCGGCTGGATGGATCCGCAGAAGGCTATTGAGCTGATACAGGATAAGATGGAAGGCTTGGAGGATGTCACTGAGCAGATCAAGAACATGTCTTTTCTGAAGGCGTAGGAAGTGGGACTGTTGGTAGCTGTCTGGAGGTCATGAGAGTGGTCGAAGAGTAGTGTCGTGTAGGAGCCTGGTATACTTCAAGGCTTGTGGGTAGTGCATATTCTGTCTGTGGAGAGCTTGAAGTCTAACCCGCTACCCTGTTACATTGTTCATATGGCTTATAGAAATCTGGAAGCACATCACGCTGCTCTATACTTTGATGCAAAAAACTTGAAAGTCACGCGACATCCTCCAGTCTGAACTTAATCAATACGACGTTCTCAAGTTCTTGAACTCCCTGAGGCGATTGCGCAGCTATATCTGATACCTAAAATCCGGCTCGCGATCGGTATACTGCTTCCCAGCAGGCATAGTATACCCTTGAGCAAGCTTAACATCCTTCCTCTCTTCTCTCCTCCTGTAAATCGCCCTAACAATCCACCATCCGCACCACGCAAACGCTAAACAGCCGAGACTCCACGCATGGCCCAAGGTATACTTCGGCGCTGCGTTGCTCTGATAGATCTGGCCAGATACGACACCACCGATGTTGGTCAGTGTGAGCAGGATTCCCAACGAAGCGGCGCGTTTGCCATCAGGCGCACAATTCGCAGATAGCCAGGTGATGTTTCCTCCCGTGCAGAGGAAACAGGCAGTTGCGACAAGGTAGGTGGCGAAGTATTGAACGTATGGGCTCACTGGAGCGAGGAGGATGGCGTAACCGGCGATGCCTACGGGTGCCATGAGGATCAGAGGTAGAAAGCGCGTTTGATATCGGTCAGACAGGTATGCGCCTATTGCGTAGACGATAGCACCCCAGATGTTGACGGGAATGACAAGATATTGCGCCTTTGCACGTCAGTTCTGTATCTCAAACTGTAAGTGGCTAGCAGTACCTGTTTGGTGGAGAAGTTGAACCCATTTCTGATGATGATAGGCAAAAAGGTGCCGAACCCGTATAGGATCGTTACGACCGCGATCTGAATGAGACCATGAACCCAGCTCTTGATGTCCTTCGCTGCTTCCTTGATATCAGCCTTTCCATAATGCCCAGAGCCCTCCGAGTCGGAGTAGGCCTGTGTTCGATGTGCGCGTTGGCGCATGAGGGCCTTCTCGTCGTCGTTCAGGAAATATGCTGTCTCGAAGGACTTGGGGACGAGGAAAATGCAACAGGCTGCCCAGATAATGGTGATGATGCCTTCAATAACGTAAAGCCTTTATCACTCTTTAGTCTATACACCGTTACAGTTGCAAAAGCCAGGACTTACCATCTCCACCCTGACCACCCAGCAACTCCGTTCATGTACAGAATGCCGAACGCGATAAGGCCACCGAAGGCTCCCGACAACGCCGATGCGATGAAGAGATACGCGATACGGATACCCAGCTCTTCTCTAGTATACCAGTTACACAGGAAAAGTGTCATCGCTGGGAATAAGCAGCCTTCGAAGAAGCCAAGGAAGATGCGCGTAGTGACCAGGCCAGCAAAGTTCTGCACAAAGCCGGTGCAGAGACATGTGACACCCCAACAAAACGTAATCGTGGGGATGACTCTGTTGAACTGGAGACGCTTGACTAGCAGCGAGGTTGGAAACTGTGTGAGGTTAGACGAGCAGGGCTGGATAGCGAATACACGTACTTCAGCGAGAATGTAGAAGATGTAAAATACTGATACAGCAGTCTATGCTTTGATTAGCCGCAAATTTTCCAAGATCCAAATCACGATCTGAACGTACGTTAAGCTCGCTACCCTTTAGTCCAATATCTGTTGTCATACCCTGAGTCGCAGCAAACCCGATGTTACCGCGATCAAGATAGCTGATGAGCATCAGCATCATCATGACTGGTGCAACGAAGCAGTCCAGCTTCCGTCGCAACGCATCTTCTTTCTTCTTGTTCTCCACAATCTCTGGGGTCTCATCTTGCGCGAGGTATTCGCGCTGCACTTGTTCGTGTTTCTCGTCGGTCAGCGAGCGTTGAAGGTCTGGCGTTGCCATTGCCGAAAGATGTCAGGAAGCGAGGGAAACAGTAGCGGAATGCTTCCCGATGACTTATCCGAGCTCAAAGATCAAGTAGTCTCGTCTGTTATGCATTCTCGATAGAAAGGCGTATATCCGGCATGTATGTACGCCATGCGCCTTCCTGCGCTCATTACTCGTGTCCATCGTCTAGGCCTGGCTCCTTCTCCAACTTCCATAAATCCGCCATCACTCGCTTCGATACGCAGGACGCCTGAAGAGTGAGTGACACAGAAAGTCTGCATGTCGACGTCGGTGGCAGGGTGTAGAGTATTAGCCGGATTGCCGATCTGCGAACGTTGCGGAGGTGGAGAAGCCATGTGTTCCCCAACGCGGGGTGAGATGCGGGGCTACGCTTGGGGAAGCACGACGCGGCTTGGTATGATGGGGGCTTTGAGCATGGAAGTACTGTCTGCGAGTAGATGGTCAAAATGTGAGGTGGTGTGCGGGGAAAGATGTTGGTGAGACGGTCGCGACTGCAATCCCGTAGGAAACATCGCGCTACTGGGCATGGCTCCTGCCAATTGACACCTCACAATAGCAAGCTGAGACTACGATTGCGAAAATACTCAAATAAATCTGAAGAGAAGGAAACAATAATCGACAAGAAGGTACTGGCACGATTACTTTCTCGACACGATGTCGTCACCAAGCAAGACTGCGGCCTTCATCGGTGCGTTCCTTCCTACCTAGCTAACCCATCACTCCTCATGTTTATGGTTCGCAGGTCTTGGCGTAATGGGCTATCCCATGGCCCTGAACCTTCGCAAAGGCCTCGACTCTACCCATACCATCCTGATATGCGACGTATCCACCTCCGCGCTCGAAAAGTTCCAATCAGATGCCTCCGGCCAGGGTCCCGTGGAAGTAGTAAAGAACGCATATGACGCCGTACAAAAGGCCGACACCGTCATAACGATGCTACCAGATTCAAATGCTGTAAAGAAGGTGTACCTTGATGCCGAAACGGGAGTCCTGGCCGGTGCGGAGAAACTACCAAAAGGTGGAGAGGGAAAGCTGATCATGGAATGCGGCACTATCGAAACAGCCACAATCTTGGAAGTCGCAAAAGCGGTGGAATATTCCAGCGCAAGCAAGATGCTGACATTTGTCGATGCGCCGGTGTCGGGTGGACCCATGGGTGCGCAGGATGGTACTCTGGCGTTCATGGCAGGCGCGAACAATAAGGACATCTTCCCTACCGTGAAGAGCTATCTGAGTCACATGGGCAAGCCAGATGCGATATTCCTCTGCGGCGATATCGGTGCAGGCACAGCGTTCAAGGTCATCAACAACTACCTCAGTGCCATCACTTCGCTCGCAGCGTCTGAAGCCCTGAACATCGGCTCGAAAATGGGATTGGACGTCGCGCTACTTACTGATGTAATCAACGTATCTGGTGGCCAATGCTGGGTCACGAGTAAGAGCAATCCAGTGCCAGGGATACAAGCAAATGTACCGAGTTCACGGGGTTACGAAGGCGGGTTTCGCATCGAGCTTTGCGCAAAGGTGTTGGGCATGGGGAGTCAGCTTGCGGAGATGGTGGGGGCGCGCACTATACTCGATAAGCCTACGTTGGAGGCTTTTGGTGAGGCGATGCAGGACGATAGGTATAAAGGGAAGGACGCGAGGGTGGTGTATAAGTGGTTGAATGAGAGTGAGAGAGAGTAGTATTCTGTATAAGCTCCTCGCATCTTCTACGATACCGAAGATTACGCCGAGTTGCACCAGCCTCCCAAATCATGTTCCATCGACTCATTGCTCGACCCGTCAACAAGTCTCGTTGCAGAAGCATGTCGCGAGGCCTAATCAAGGACGATGCTCTGCTCGCTGAGGTCGCTTCCAGCGAAACGTTGCATGATCTCGCCATTCATTACACCGTTGATATAGCATTCGCCTATCAACTTGTGCCGGCCTTCTCTCGCTGGTGTGAGGAGGAAAGGGACAATTGCCCCGAAAATGATGCAGCATACATCGCCAATCTCGACCAGATCACCCAGCGGAGCTATTCCGATACGCCCATAGCTAGTCAAAAACATACTCGCATTGTCGAGAGCGTCGAGGTTCTTCTTGAGCCATGTTGCGTCTTGTCTCTCGTCTACTCCCATCACAGCCTCCTTGTCACCCGGTCTCGCCACACGGATATGCTTTTCATACGCATCAATTAAGCGTTGCTGTCTCTGGTCAGAAATGGCGGAGAAGACATTGTTGCTTGGGTAACCTATCGATAAGCTGCGGAAAAAGTCGACATGTCGTACTGCGACGCCCAATCGTGACGAGCTTCGCATCACATCATCCCATAACGTGTCGACGAATACTCCATTCAGTCCGCTAGTCGATGCATAAGTGGGATTGACCTCCGCATAGTCCCCTTGTATTGTAGATGACCTCCAGATGACGGTGTCGAAGGTGCAAGCACCAACGCTCAATCCCTTCTCGCCATGCTGGGTGGCTCTGAAGAGTTCGCTGGTGCCTCCAGCTTGGAACCAATAGTCCGGGTCCGCTACTCTCACGCGACGTTCCCCGGCGACATGCCATTCCGGTAGCCAAGAAGGATGCATGCAGTCCAGAAGTCTGTCTCTACTGTTGTGACGAACAGCCGAAAGAAGGAAAGGCCCTTCTGCGGCATTCTCAATTAGCGCATGCGCGAGACGAAGATGAAGATCGTCTATCGAACAGGTATAGTCTGCCTCCACGAACGTGCGGCCTCCACTGGCAATCGCGGCTGGACAACCCAAGAACGCGTAAACATGGTCTCTAGGATCACTTGCTTTTAGGGATCGGGAAGCCTGGAGGAGCATCGTAAACGTGCTTTTTCCGGAATGGGTGGCTAAGTAAGCCAATCCCATGCGGGATTGCTGCCATCGTTTTGGCCGGTGCGCATTGTAATGAAGGTAGACTTCTATGTTTCTCTCTGTAGGGCGATTAAATCTCCCAACAACGTTGCGAATGGTCTCTTTGAAATCTTGCCTTTGCGAAAGCCACACACACATTTCCAATACATCGGCAATATTAATGCTGGCTGAGCCCCAATAAACGCAACATTCCTCAGCGATGGCAGCTTCCTGAACAGTCCATACTCTTCTAAACCAAGGAAATTTGAAGAGGCTCACGACCCCTAACCATCTTTCTCTGTTCATGGAAATAGGGTACGGTTTTGCAATACTTGCCATCCTGCTAATTCTTTGGTTCGCTTGTAAGAATAAGACCGCAAAATATGCATTTGCCTCGAGGATTAGAGCGAACGCATCTTCAGCATTGTTTTGATTATCGCAACCAAGCCAAACAAGTGTACATTTCGCGTTGGCATACACTTCGCCCATTCTCTTGACTTGGTGCCCTTTCTCCTTTTTGTCTTCCTGGTTGATACACAGAGCATCGGCCCATAGCACTCGAGGTTCCGATGCGTGGCGAAAGGTTCGAAGGGCATCTGCGAGGCTGACGGTGATCGGCACCCGCTGTCCATTACACTGCACGTTGACAGTGTCGTTGGGGTCGCCCCAAACGTATGATAGCGCTTCATATGAGCCCTTGGACTGTTCTATGTCGACAATCTCGAGGCTGCAGTCGATGTCTTGGTCGTTGTCGCCGGGTCGTAGTCTTAGTACGCGTATGAATTCGCCCGCTGGGAGTGGTTCGTAGATTGTGTCGTCCTGTCTCTCGTCGGATACTTTCGATCGCTTGGTTTCAGGAGGCGGAGAAGGAGACTCGATTCTGCGTTTTGGCATGCTGAGACCGATTGCTCAGAGGACTGGGTGAGCTTGTAGAATTGTGGTGTTGGTGGTAGGATGTAAGTTGGGGAGGAAGGCTGAGGGCTGTGAGAGAACGCCGGCAAGGCAGCTGCAAGCCACCTAAATGATGATTGGCGAGACGTCATGCGCAGATGTGCCCCCCAATATCCTCTGTATGGTGTCGTTGGAAATTTGGCGGAGCACCGTCGGCGCCAGATGGAACGAGAGGGCGTTTGATGGGACATGAACGGGCACTTACTAAAAGCGAACATATAGATATATTAGACCTCTAAAGACCACGTGTGCCCCAGTAGTATCTAATGCCAAACAAAAGAAATACCCCCATACCATGTATATGCCCCCCAACCCAGTCGCGAGACCAACCAGTCCCGCGACAGCAAATGCCGCCTAACCCAAGGAAAAGTGGTATGCTGTGGTATCATCCATATGCGAGCCCTCTAAACGCCATATAACACCATTCCAGTCCATCAGACGCACTGCTGATAGACCGTGTAGACCCGTTGCTTACGGGCAGGTCAAACTCCTCGTCCTTTTGCTATCGCCCAAGCCTAGTACTTCCCCCCTGACGTGCTTGGGCACCTGAGCTTTCGCCCAGCACTGCATGGCCACTCTGCGCATGAGCTCCACTTCCTCGTCCCGCAGTCTGAGTTGTCGCTTCGCCAGCTTGCTTTTCCTGAGCTTGACGCCCTTCTCTTGAACCGCTTGTCCAGATACCACAAACGGCACCGTAGGATGTGTGAGCCCACGCTTCGAGCCCGGACGTTCGATCATAGGGGACGAAACAAGGGACTCGAGGTTCACGCACTCAGCGATGAGGGCCTGGATGCCAGCGGAGAGTTGTGTCGCACGCGAGAGTATGTATCCCCAGATCTCTGAGCCTTCCCAGAACGGGTCGTTTATAACAGCGTGTTGGAGCGCAGGGAGTATGTGCGGGAGGGGAGGCAGCGTTCGGTCCTCGATGTGCTTTGGTGGTTCTTCTTGCGTTGGCGTTGCGATATTTGCTGTACTAAGCAGACTTGCGGCGATGGTCAGGCGGATGTGGCTGTCGGTGCTTAGGGTTGCTGTTACGACGCATGCTGGGCAGCCCCGGGTGCGGCACCAGTCTGATTCTTCGGTTATGAAGCACTGGAGGCCGATGAATGCGCTGCGGGATTCGCCTGAGAAGGCGAGCTCGAGGTCAGAGGCGCGTTGTGTGCATAGTGCCGCGGAGGCTAGTGTTGATGCGCGGGAGAAGAGGGTTACGACGGGCATGATGAGGGCGTGGAGGATATCGCGGTGGAGTATGTAGGTTTGTTTCGCCTGAGGAGAACATTGCGTGTGTGTTGCGCAGAAGCTGGCATGCTTGTTAGTACTTGATCTTGCGATTGAGGTTTGCCGTGGAGCTGGGGGTGGATAGGCATGTGGAGGTGGAGAGAAGCGATACGAAGTGCGATAAGCTGCTCGCGACGGGGGGAGAGGAACAGGAACATGAACATACTCAGCATCACCAGCCAGGTGCCTCCTCAGCGCGCAAAAGGCCTTTGACTCGCCCAGCGCCTCTACATCCTCATGTGGGATCACAAAAGGGCTCTCCATCGGCACAGCGTATCCGTAGTCCATCGTATCTCTCTGTCGGCGTGGCTATCTCGCTTCGCATCGGTATGCAGTCGGGCTATCTCGAGTCGAAAGGCAGACGAGAACGAACAAGCTTCTTCGCACGACGAGGCTAAAAAGCAAATAAGAGGGGGAAGAGCAAAGCAAGCAAGATGCCAGGGAAAGAAGGCTTCGAGGGTATTATCATTATTCCCTGCAACGGACGGCCGTTCCCTATTTCACCCCCCAAATGACGCGAACGAGCCTCCCTCATGCCCAGGAGCTCCACCCGCTGCTGCGCTGCCGGGGTGGAGACTGCTGTAGATCTAGACTTGCATATTGCGCACCCCCCTTTCCTTATCCGCCCACGCTTGTGCAGAGCCCGTATCTCACGACTGCTTTATGTAGCCAACTAGCTCGCGCCAGATGGCATCACCACCGGCCGGGAAGTACTGGCTTTCGGATTCGGGCAGAAAACGCGGCGTGGGCGGTTAGTCCCCTGTTGCGCATCAACAGCTTGCTTTTCTCCGCACTTGAGCGGCATCAACAACGAAGAAGCGGTGGAGCATTTATTTTGCGACCTCGTTAATTTGAGGGAAGCGAACTGCCTCCTGTATCTCATACAGCAGGTGTACCCGCGCCTACGTACTTCCCTCCTGTACCCCTAAACCAATTTGCGAGCATGATCTTCAATGATGCAAGCGCAGCTACACCGACCCGACCGCGCAGAGGCCGATCAACCCGAACATCGCGATCGAAACGAAAACGACGTCGTAGGTAGAGCGGTCGGTTGACAAGGACGACCCCGCTGAAACACGTTTCGATAAAGATAGTCGCTAGCCCAAGGGTTCGCGAGAGGCACTAGATATCGCGACATTGTTAACTGCCGCACTATTGGAAGCGCGTAGCGGCCGACATCACCACCTCAGCTGCGCCATCTCTCGACTTGCAGATGTCATGGACGCACCGCCTGTATCTCTATGCGAATGGTTCTTACACCTGCACTGCGAACGATTCGGCCCTGCGTCGCTGGCGATATCGCTCGGTTTATGAAATATGGAGCCGAATTACGCGTATCGCTTGCTTGTACCGCGGCCGCGAACAGGGTCTAACTCGTCAACATCGCAACATGCTACAACGACAGGACAGAAATGTTTGCGTGGAACGGAATATTGATGGTGAAATTTTCATGACGCTACAATGATTGATTCAGATACAGGCTGATACGGGCTGAGAGTGGGAATTGGCTGACGATGGCGTTTGCGCTACGGAGGACGGGCGCTCCCGTGATCGACGCTACAGCACAATGCAGTCTCAACTTTCCTGCTTGAGATACACTATCGTGGTGCAAACCATCAGTTTCGCTGTTGAGATGACGTTGCCCAGCCAGTACCACGGCCGATATCGACGCCTCTCCCCCCTTTCCGGTCTTCGTTCTTTCCCCACGCTCACCCACCAGTACAGTAGGAGACCCCTGGGACGTGCAGGCGCATCGGCTTGTAATCCGTCGATTTGGCTGCTAGTCAGGAACGACTGAAACGTGCAGTCGCGCTATCGATCAATTGTCTTGTAGCGCACGCCGGAGTGACAAGCGTTCGAGAATGATGCCATATTTAGTAGCATGACAGATTCGTCTTGTAAGAAACGACTGCAGCTAATGTAGACTTTGCGTCTATCGGACTTGGCTACCAGTGGACTTCAGATAACGGACAAGCTATGCATCGGCTTTTTGTGGTTTGTTGCACTTCGATATCGAGAACGGTAGCTCTGATGAACTCTAAGATTTGTTTGGACAGACCGTGCCGCCGGTATCCTCTGGTCGATGATAAAACATTACAATATCAGCGAAGCCTTCTTCACCTAAACCAGAAAACTGAGTACGACCCATCGTTGCTAAGGATGCGTCGTTGGGTGCCGTCGGCAGTCTGCTTCCTCCCGAAAGGATCCGTAAGTAGCATTGTAAGCTTCTCTGAAATCGGGCCCATCTCTTGCTTCGACACAGGTATGGGTGGGCTCAACAGACTCGGATCAGGCTGCAGGATGGCGAAGATGCTGCTCTTCGATCTGCCGATCATCCGACGATGGACATCTTGCAAGTGGTCGTATAGGGGCCAGAGTGTCTCCAGGTATCGCGCGGCAACGGGTTCGCATGGTTTACATGGCTCGAGCATATCCATGCACGACTTGGCGTACGTGAGATCAGCTTCGACTCCTTCAGTTTGACCGTCCATGAGTTTAGTCGTTGCACTGAAGAGCAGGCAAATGGCAGCTGAGAATGCCCAGTAAATACTATGATCGTTAGTTCGTGGGGTGTTCGGGTTTTGTATATGAACTTACATGATCCAGCAACGCGTTGTCAGCGTACCGTCAAAGGAGATAAGGCTCAATATGCGAGCAATGTTCTGGGCAGCCATTGCACATTCCTGTCGGTATATCTTGACATCTTCGACTGAAATGTTGTTCAACGCAGATGGAATTCCGTCGATAAGCTGGGCTTCTGCTGAAGCCACTAGTAGCTGGCGGTATAGCAGGACCAGTGCACCAAGATACATGATCTGAATGAGTCAATAAAATGATGATACAAGAAGATGGAAGGTTTCCTTACGTGCAACATAAAGACCGCTCGCCTTTGGAAGACTGTCAAGTCTTGTGCGGCACTAGACAGAAGCGTAGGGATCTGTAACGTTTGCGGAACTTCTTCACGCCACTTTTCCAGCTTCATTGTGAGCATGGTGATGTTCCCTTTGGTAGCTAGCTCTGGAGATGCCAGTGTCTTGGCAACCTCGGCGGCTATCAGGTTGATCTTGCTGGTTTGCATGTGTATGAGTTCATCGATGGACAGCTGATCTTGGCGATGGGCAATGCAGGCGACCTGGCCATGTTAGTATCATGAAAATCAATGTAAGCTCGCCCTAGCATACCTGGATGTCACTGGCTGTCACCTCAGTGGGATAACCGAGGGTGTAGGCAAGCCATGAATCCATGAATACGAGGCTACGGAATATCTTTCTCCAGTGGTCGTCCGTTGCTGAGCGAGACGAAGTTTGCAGAGCCGGATACTTCCAACGGGCGATCTGTAGTCCTGCAGCTGTGGCTTATTAGTACAATCACATGATCAAGTGTACGAGTTGAACATACCGATAAGATACTTGGCGCTCATGTGCTTCTCGAGCAAAGAATAAAAGGACAAAGATAATAGCAAGCGCATTGTGCGGAAATAGTCTTGTCTGGCAGTCTGCTCGTTGAAATGAAGGGTCCCAGATGCGTAGAGCAATCGGCGCATCCGATCAGGGAAGGCATCGATGTCGTAATGCGCGCCCATAGCAGCAACTGTGAAGCATTCGGCAAGTGTCATGTCGTCCACCTTCTTTTGGGGCCGGTAGATACGGTCAAGTATCTCATTAACCTCATCATAAGTCCACATGAAGAGCAGCGACCCAGTTCCTCGTACGAACGCGTACATGGACCGCCGAACACGATCCTCGGTCGGCAAAAATGCTTGACTGAACTGCTGGCCGGATCCATTGAGTATCTCGCCTCTGAGAGTGACCAACTCACTGAAGGCCAGCGTCAGAGCATTGTGGCATGCTTCGGCTTCGGGTCCGGCTGATATGCTGCTTGATTGGAGAGATACCGGGCTGTCTGAAGAGCTCGGGCTGGCACGTGAGTATTGTCTCGTGTTGTTAGAAGTGTCGGTTGTTGAGCGACTATTCGTCGGTCGCTGTTTGCCAATGCTCGGACTTGATTGTTGCGACTTGAACTCGTTCAGATAGGCCTGATACTTTCGCCAGTTATCCGTCTTCTTGTAGTCGTCCATTTGGGCTTCGAACTCTTGCATGGCTCGGGCCGCATTGCTTTCCCAGATACGCTTTCTCTCTGAAGGAAGCTCCTGCCATCTCCGACCGACTTCGCGAGCTATATCCACAAAGGATAGTTGGCTGACCTCAGGGTCGGTACGAAGCTGGTCGGCGAAATTTACATCTGACGACGTGTTAGATCAAGTTATGATAGCGTCGTAGGAAGAGCGTACAGGCTGTCTTTGGCTTCTTTGGCGCATTTGGGTCTGCCCGTGGATGCCGCCTGTACCTCCTCTTCTCTCGTGGTGGCAGGGACGTTGTTTGCCTGGTGAAGCTTTCCAAAGCGGATGTCGATAATGACGTCGGCTCAGGCGAGTTATTGTCTGGCTCCAGTGATAGTGATTGAGGGATACCGCGGTACGTGGCAATCTCGCGCTGTAGTAATCTCCTGTGGCCAAGCTTAAACTCGAGTGCTGTTAAATCGTCCTCCGTGATGTCTACAACCGTCTCCCAGTTGTGGAACCCATTCTCAGCTAGAACCTGAGCATACTGAGTGAGTCCAAGTCGCTCCAAGACTTCAGTGAGGTCTGGGACAGAAGAACTCGGAAAGGTAGGGATCGCCATGAGGGGTGACGTCTGTGGTGGAAGAAGATGGGAAAAGGGACAAATGGCATATATGAGCGCTGCCACACGGCATGACAGATACCGCGACTATGGCCTTACAGGCGGGCTGAAGCTGAGATGGACGTTATAGGGTAGCGCGCAGTCGTGGCCGGTGATCCAGACCGCGTGGATGAAAAGAAGGGTGTTCTGGGAGAGCCTCGAACGTCACAGCCCGGACCCACTTTTGACACACGCTAGTGGCAGTAGCCGGTTTCTGCCACAGGGCAAGAACTTCCATGGGAATTTAAGACGCCGCCACACGACGCGCCCATGGTGTTTGTGTTTTTCCATGAGCACGTATTGCTAAGACGGCTCGGTCCTGCTGCTGTTCATCTCATTTCGCTATTGCTGCTGAGCGCATCGGCTTTCTCCAGCGTGCTACCGACATCAGCAGCAGCACCGCGCTGTGTCCAGACCTCAGAACACCACGCAAAGACAACGATGCGAATCATGTGGCCCAAACACTCACTACCAGCGTGTTGCCGCTCAATGCAGCTATACGCGCTCCAGAATCAACGTATGATCTTTTGCGCTATCTGCCGAGGGAATGATTCCCGGGAAGCTTAAAGTTGACCGCCCTTCCACCACTCAAATACATGAAGCAGCTACGGAATTGCTTTCCACCTCCCTGTTCCAGTCAGAAGCCATCATCTGCACTGCAGTGTCTCTTGAGTGTGTAACCCACGACCGGGGTTTACCGATCGAAAGCTGCTCGACGATCGTGTTCTTATGTAGGCCAAAGGCCTAGACTGTTCGTGCATCTCCGATACAGCGGCGCGCCATCTCGCCAGCCTCTAGCTTACCCACACGACTTCCCGGTTCCCGTGCATCTCTGCGCCACACGTCCGCGCGATGAGTAGGGAATGTCTCTTCGCTTGGATCGGTACCCTTTCCCCACATACTCTTGCTGATCATGGCCATGGTAGATTCGCGCAGCCTTGCCATTGGCGCTGGCAAAGCTGCTGATCTCCTTGTTGTGAAACGAGCAGCCTCGTGGCCGTCGTGCTAAGCACGTGCACTCAGATCCTGTTCATCGACTTGGAGCATTCAGCCATCAATCATGAGGCTCGTGCCTGGATCACGCATGACGATCCACGCTACACAAGCATCAGCTGTCAAATCGCATCAAAGGGTACAGCAACCGACACATGCACCACGTCCTTGGCCAAATATCAGGCTCTCTTGAACTATCAAAACTAGTACGACTGCCCAATCCTTACAGGAGCTACTGCAGACGATGGGCTTGGAAACGCCCCCAAATAGCACTGTTCTGTACGCATCATATTGAGCAACCGGAGGGTCGATTTTCGGAAGTATGCACTACGCTACAGGTACTTTTGCATCAACTCTTTCACGCGCTCCAGGTTCAGCCCTTCAATCTTGTTTCCGTTACCGTCCATTGTTTCCGCCATACACAGCACATTGTATATTGCTTCTTCGACTGTGTCAGCGCTCGCCTCGAATAAGGCATTGATTGTCTGATCGTCGGTCATGGTCACCGATACCTCTCTCGCCTTGTACGGATCGACAGATGCTTGCCCCGCTGTGACTGTCTGCACGTTCAACTCGTTGGCGGTAGAGAACGCGAGGAAGACATCGCCGGAAGAGTTCGTGCCGTAGCCACCTACGCGAGACAATCCGACAGTCGCACGTTTGGCGAGCCTTTGCAGTTGTTGCGGGTGAAGCGGCGCGTCCGTGGCCAGGATGATTATGATGGATCCATCTTTCTTGTCCTTCTCCTTCTTCACCTTGAACAGTAGGTTCGCTTGTGCCAGTAGTTCTGGATCGTCAGGGTTCGCTTCAATCTTTCGCTTCTGTTCTTCATAGATGAGTCTCCCAATCGGCGCACCTCCGATCTTGAGATCCCACATCTTGCCGTAATTCGCTTGGACCAGAGCCGCGACTGTATAACTCCTGCCATCTTCGCCAGGCACCACACGGGAGCTAGACCCAGTACCTCCCTTGAAGTAATGGCAGATCATACCCGTTCCACCGCCCGTGTTTCCCTCTTTCACGGGGTCGCTGCTTGCTTTGTCGATGCCATCTACGACATGCTTCGGTGTCACGGCAAATTTGGACACATCGTGCAGGAAACCATCAAAGGTCTCCGCTACGACAGGCAATAGGAACCAATCGACCTTTCCATTCTTGTCGCAGTTCTCGCGGATCGCATATTCGTAGATGCCGTTGTACGCTGAGCCAACGCCAAAGCTCCCCGTAATGATGATTGGGGAGAAAAGAAGGCCCATCTCTTCGATCAGATGCGCTCCAGTCATCTCCCCAGAGCCGTTGAACCGGAACATGCCTGCGAAACAAGCTTTGTGAAACCAGTCCTTGCGCGGAATGATGGTCGTCACGCCAGTGTTGATGTCGTTCGGTGGGGCATCGGGATAGGCAGGAGATGAATGAATGGACTCAGTGTGTACGAGCACACCGGGAATGTCTGTCAGACTGTTCTTTGGGCCGGGTTGGTAACGACCAAGATGCAGGGTTGGTAACAGTTCGCGGATACGCTGACGCGGGAAAGTAGAGGGTGCCGAGTCAGAAGACATTGCAGGTGGTAGCGATGGCAAAGATGCGGTGATAGTTGTAGGGTTCCGGTATACTCTGCAAGGGAAGTGTAGCGTTGCTACGTTGCAGCCTGGATGCCTCAGATACTTATACCCATGCCTACAGGTCGATGTGTCTGCCTAGCGTATGCACTCACGAGTAGATAGCTTACCATCCTCGCGATCCTCCCAGATACCAACACAACGCCTTTCTCAAGGGCGCAATTTGCGCAAAACTGGCGAGGGCGTTGTCAACCTTCCTAGTCTGCTCATAGACTTACCTCATCGCTCTCGCGCTCCCTCCAGGCACCAGCATAACGCTTCTTTCGAGATCGCAAGCCCTGCAAAACCTCACGATGGCCGTTGTGGTGATGGAGATTGCTACATGCGGAAGACATGAGCCTTTATGAGTCACTTTGAGCGATAGCGATTAAACCCACCGCATCATAAACTCATTGGCACGGAGATTTCTGGATGCATGCTGGCGACGGAGTTCAAACGACACGAAAGAGTCAGACCCGACGACCCGCTCCTTCGCGCATGATTAGCGTAGTGGCTTGCGAATCAACCCCGCCTCGTCAATTTGCGAGACGCGCTCCTCAACACCGCTGGATCACAACGTTGCAACGTCTAGCAGTCAAGGATGAGGCAGCTGTGAAGCCATAGCGGTCGTTGGACTCACGTGTGCGATAAGCGGCCGCCGCGCCCGACAATATTTCCGAACAGTAGTTCACGACTCAGGTGCCAAGGCCCACCGAACCGGTTCCTGCATAGCGCATCTCCAACACCACAAGCTTGACCTTCTCCAGTCGATGTGATCTCCGCAATGTGCCGTGTCGGAGTTATCTGACGTAGTCGGACCGCTTTCGAGCACCCCCACCCTTGCTGTGAGAAAGAATCCGCAAAAAAAACTCCGAGATACTTGCTCGATGTTCTTGCCTCTTCATCTTTACCACCGGACGGCAACATGCTTACACAGCTTCTTGCAGTAGGGCTTCTGAGCCTCGCGAAGCCCGCCCGAGCAAGCTATGGATTTTACGTCGGAAAGAACCTAACGCAGGATGGCAGTGTTATGCTGGGTGGCACCGGAGAAGAAGTGTCCTCGCACTGGCTTCAGATCTTCCCAGCAAAAGATCACGCCCCGAATGCGACAATCACAGTTGGAGTTACCGAAGACGCATCGATGCCTGGAAAACTGATGAACATCTCCCAAGTGCCGCACACATTCCGCTATCTTTCGATGGAATACTCCGACTTCGAGGGCTTCCCACCTCCACTGACGAATGGTGGTGTGAATGAGAAGGGCGTCGCTGTTAGGGACATCTGGGCACAAAACCGAGATGACCTCATTGCCATGACGCCAAACCCCCAGACAGGTTTACAATACTCCGACCTAGCTCGTATCGTTATGGAACGCGCGAGCACCGCACGCGAAGGTGTTGAGCTCATTGGCCAGATGATTGCAGAATACGGATATGCCGATTACGGCGGCAACTCGCATCTCATCGCAGATGCGAACGAAGGATGGGTTGTATGGCAGATGTCAGGAGGCAAGAAGCTTTGGGCTGCAGAACGTCTCGGCGAGAACGACGTACGTGTGCTTTACCCAGGTTACATTGAGGACTTCCCGGTCGATTTCGAAAACAGTACAGACTACATGGGTAGCCCGAACATCGTGAGCTTTGCCGTCGAACAGGGCTGGTGGAACCCGAACGGCACCGAGCCGTTCAACATCTTCAATGCGTATGCCTACCAAGCGGAGGGATACACCGCGCGAGACGGAGGTGCGAAGTACATGTCTCAAGCGGCTCTTGAGAACGCCACCCGCGCAATGGCTCCGGTGACCGAGAAAGACCTCATCGAGCGCGTTCGCGACTACCGTATTTCAGATGATGAAGCCGGTTATGGCCAAGTCGTGTCTCTTCGCGCAGATATGGACCCGGATCTGATTCGCATCTGGGTCGCTCCAACCGGATCTGTGACCGCACCTTTCAACCCGTGGTGGCTGGGTGTGAAGAGCGTGCCACCTGAGTTCGGCCTCCATCGCTATCTCTACAAAGATGCCGCATCCACCTTCTTGGATACCGACTACCAATACCAAGAAGCCACGCACTTCGCCGGACGCATCTTCAAGCAGGTCCTCTACTACACTTGCTCAGATCCGGAGTCATACCTACCAATCGTCCAAAACATGCTCCACGGATTTGAGAACGCTTCATTCGCAGATATGGAGTGGATCGAGCGCAGCGCTAAGACTTTGGTGGAGAACGGAATGCGAGAGGATGCGCTCGAACTGCTGACATTCTATTCGCATACTAGGGCTGAGAGGGCTCTGGCTCTTGGAAAGACTATGGTCGATGCGCTTGACTCGTATGTCAAGCTTATGGGACAGTTCCGCATGCCGACTGGTGACCGCATCAACGACCCTGGGCTTGGAGCGGAGACTGTGAATTGCTTGGTTGGCTGGGATCCTGATCAACCCGCCGATCAACAGAGACCATTGAAGAGGTTCAGGCGTCAAATCTAATATGAAGCGAAGGGTACGAGGGATCGTTGTGTTTATCTGTCATATTAATTGCTCTTGTACTTCATGCTACAGTTTCACCTGCTGTGGACTGACAGAAGCACCCGCGAAGCTCTGATCTGAAGCTGCTGCAAGCACCACTTCTCCATAATCGTAATTTCCCAAGCCCTTGTTGTGCACGGTCGCAGGAATGCATGTCTGAGGTTGCCTTGTAATCTTTCCAAGGCTGCGCGAGGATAAGGAAGTGTCTCGAGAGGTGATTGTGATGGGAGTTGAACTATACGTCGAGATTAGAACATCACATGATTCGGCTTAGTAAGCCGTAAGCGAGACGGCCCTTGCGGACAGCGGCCCCGGTGCTTCCTTCCTCCCACGCATCCATCGCACGCTGTCAACATGATACGGTCGAGAAAGTTCCGACAGACGCGTTTGGTGGTCAGATCGAGGTGATCAATGCTTTGTAACTCAGGCCGAACGCGTATCACTGTCCGACGCCGCATCAGCAGTCAGACGCCCGCACACAGACCGCCAACCATCTACACCAGATGCCAAGACTGTCTTGCATCTCGTGAGGAACCTGCTGTTCATCCTTCTCGTTCCGAGCTCATTACCCAGCGTGTTAATCACATAGCTTCATTGTTGGTGGACGGGGATCCGGCGTCCACCGCCTATGCACCCACAGACCAGGTTGACAGGTCAAATACGATGTCTGCATGCACGCCCATTATGCGAGACCGACTTTACCCGGTCATTCTACCATCGTGTCTAGGCCGGACACCTCTAATCTTACCCCGTCCAGTATCTGTCGGTTGGATGACCAGAGGAATTGGGTATACGACCAGGTTTGCCTGCCATGGCTACAGATCACTTCAGGGATCTTATCCCTACTGAGCCTGCGGATAGCTTGGCCCACGTGGAAGTACAACTCCAAACATTGGAATTGGGATTTTAGCTTTACATACTGCAGACGCGATGCAGTAAGCGGCAGCCGAAGCACACAACAGGCTCGGCCCGCCAGATGCGTGTGGCCCGAAGGCTAGTCCCCGGAAGGCTTGTTGAGACACCTGGCATGCGAACTTGCTAGTAAGGCTTGCAGGACTTCTCGCTCCTATAGCGATTCTTACCAGATGACCACGCATGGCAGAGTTAGGATGAGGTCCAGGCGGTTGAAGACGAACACTGGGGCTATGACTAGCACAGACTCGGCAGTGTTCGTCGTAACAACTAACTAGATCCATGTGTCAGCCTGCACGCGATCGTACCTACAGGGAGTCTGCATGGCATCATGCCTATCTTGAATGTGTGGAAACCAACTGATATAGCTGCAGGGTTCGATGGTATCTCGATGATGCTCGACTGCCTATGATCAGCTCGATGGCCGATCTTCTTCGTATACGTTCAAGACTGCAAGATGAGTTTAGTCCCGGGTTGCCAACTCGTCAGCCAATACGTTCGGTTTGTTCGACACCCGCGGCGTTGCGTAGCCCTTCATTGGGTAGCCTAGCGTACGTAAGTGTTAGAGATTTCGTTGAGTCGGAGTACCTACCACTAAGATGCATGGGAAATGCGCACTGTGGCCCTATCATCCCACAACAAACACGCCACCGCTGAGAAGAGCATAACCCTCTGTTATGTCGCGCCAAATTGGTATTAACGCTGTACTACCATGGCCTCGGCCGTCCTGCAAAGACTTTTCAGAGCCCTGACTTATTCGGGTATGGAGAAGCAATGGAATGCGTACCACTTTCCTGCATCTACGGAATTAACTCCATACCGGCAACGGTCTTCTACTATGTAAACTACCACGCAAGTCACTACCAAACTGTCCAGAGCGATACCAAATGCCTTCAGCAATCGCCTATGACGCCGGAGCTCCTTCCGCGGATATCACATATCGTTGCAAGCTAGACCGTCTTACCGCTCGTTGGTGCGTCACAGTCCACACTCCGCAAGAGCCACGTCTGCTAGCACAAGCCATAGGCAACTCAGTCAGCTATTCGGCCTCGCTATTGGCGTTTGATAATCGCATTGACGCTACGCTGACGCTCTTGGCCATGCGTGAGGTAGGCCATAAACTGCTGTACATCCGAGCTCTCGTCACCAACAGCGACAACATACCGAAGGATGAGGCTATGCCTCCCGATGATCCGAAGAGCTGCTGGTGCCTCAAGACTGCAGCTTCGCTTGATGGACATCTTTCTGAGTTGTGGGTGATCACAAGTATAAGAATGCCCTTTCCTTCCGCTCATTGCTACAACCATCTCCAGCCAACAATCACAAATCCTTTCTTCAACTCTTACACTCATCAATCTTTCCACCTTTCAAGATGTACGCTCTCACCATCATCGTCGCCGCCCTTGGTCTGGCCACCGCCTCCCCTGCCTCCGACTTCTCGCCTCGCCAGGTCGCTGCTGTTGCCTCCGTCGACCGTTATGCTGGTGCTGGCTGCAGGAGCACCATTTGCAACAAGGCTGGTTCGGGGGATCTCCACGCCGGATGCAATGCCATCACCGACGCTTGCCAAGCGAGCTTGAGGCTCAACTATGCCAACGCTGGTTGCAAGGGTACGTAGTCTTCTTCGGCCCCACAACTCGGGCTGTGAAGAGAAGCGCAGAGCTAACGAGATGTAGTGGCTATCTGGACAGATGCCACATGCACCAGCGTGAACCAGTTCGCCAATGTCACCATAACTGGAGAGTGCTACGCTCTTGGCCCCCCTATCAAGGGTATCTCCGTCACTTGCTAGAGGACTTACACTAAGAGACAACGCTGTGCGATAACAGGCCATATTCGTGGGTCTCGAGAGAAAAACGGCTGAGAGCTTTGTACCTGGAGCTAGAGTAGATTTTGCCGCAAGGCACGGAGAGGCTGCGCGACTGCTATCCAACATTACGGTCCGATGCAGCGGTTTGTAGCAATTCACCACATCACCTCTAACTCTGTCTTCTTGCCCCATTTCGTGCGACTGGCTTAGCCTTGCTCTATTTGCCATGTGAACGTGCGGGATAAAGGGCTTCGATGTTTTCGCCTTGAGGCAACACGCTGCAAGGAAATGATATGATGAGTTATCCAGCGATGACGAAGGTAAAGCCTGAGGTTAAATCCATAACGCTAACGATGGCATTCATTGATGTTGTTATAGCCCCTCAATATTCCAGATATCTATGCAGCTTGCATCTCACCACTTGGGCGCCGTTCCAGTCGGATGTATCCTTGTCTCTTGTGTATTCCAGCTTCATGCATCATCGTGCGTCGGGAAGTTCCTCCTCTCTCTCCTTTTTCGTGCTTATACCGAACTTGATTCGTTCCTGTTTTGTAAAACGATGTACTTTAAGAGGATCTCGTTGTCGGGCGTATAAAAATTTGGCGTCGCTGGCTATGATGTAGCTCTTTGTCAGCAAAGAAAGCAAGGTTCTACTTGCCCCAAGACGCCTACCCCTATGTCCAACGGCCTTGCGTCGCATGCGACGGCGATCTGTTGTCGGGGCGTGGAGTTTGGCGTGTGTGGCTTTGTCGATGGCGGTAATAATGAAGCTGTACATGATGCAGGCTATCGCGAGAACGACAACTGCAATAGCGCAGGTAGTGAGGAGATTCATCGGCTGCAAAGATGAGGTGGCGCCCTCAAATCGCACTTTGTGTGATATATGAAAAGGAAGGTGTTGGGGGCCGGACATGTAGCTCTTGCCCAAGCGGGAGTAATGTACCGGAGAGAACTGTGTAGTGGCAGAGTTGTAGCTTTGACAAATCGTTGCGGCCTTATCATATGTCCTATTATGTCATTGTAAAGTGGGTCATATGAGACAGTCGATCAAAGTGAATAGAGGTGCTTGCAGACTCTTGACTTTTAAGCCTTGCTACCGGCCGTTTCTATATACAGACGCTAGTAGTTCCAAAGTCACGACCTCTTGAAACGTATATGCCTTAGACTAGGATTAAATATCTTAAAAGTGCATCCACTGTAAAGATTTATCATTTGTCGTAAACCCCGACCCCCGAAGCACCATCTCGAGTCCGAGGGCTTCACTCATCTCAGGTACTACTAATGCAGCTTTACCGCAACAACCCTTCCACCAGCCTTCGCTGTTCCATCCGCTCCAAAGCCACCCATAGTAGACAAATAAAGGGTACTGTTGTCTTTGTCCGTTCTTCCGAATGTCGACGCCGTAGAGCCTGCCACCAATCCACCTTCAGCGACAGTCGTGAATTTGCCATTCAGTTCGATGTGATGAATTTTGTCGCCTAAGGGTGCTGCCAATGGCGCACAGACGTACATACTGCCATCCCTCGCAACTGCAAGATCGTCAGGACCGTTGAAGATTGAGTCGCGCGCGGTTTCGAAAAAGCCGTTGGGTCTGCCGGTAGATGGGTGAACTCGAACGCGGCCAGCCAGAGACTGGGCAGTATTGGTGTAGTATACGTAGTCATTGTGGAATTTGATCCCGTTGGCACCAAGCTGTACCGGGGCAGAGAGATTGGCTGCTAAGCTAGGATCCTCGAGAACGACTTCCGTTCTCCCAGTGCTGACGTTGTACGCAGCAATATTTCCATACATCGAATCTGCCAACAGCAACATTTCGTGATTCAATGTCGCCATGCCATTAGGCATAGCCATGTCAAGCAGTTCAGACATCTTGCTGACCCTGACTGCCTTGTCCTTGACAGTCACATCAAGTTTCCACAACGAAAAGCTCTGTGGATTCGTCGTGTTTCCAGGAACTGAGTTCGCAACGATCACAGCGAAGACATCCTCTTGAAACTCGGTAATTCCTAGGGCGCCAGTTGCATTCGGGAAAGTGGCGATGACGGAGGAACTCGCGGGTGAGCCTTGCGGGTGGACGATATGCACTTGAGCAGCGTCGAGGGTTGTTACGAGAAGGGAGCCGTTGCCCATCGCAGCAATATTTTCGGCCCATGTGCCGTTGGGAAACTGGTGGATCGTCGAAACATTCGTGGCAAATGTCGAGGCCATAAGGGCTGAGATGACGGACATGGGCTTCATCCTGGCGCGAAAGTGCTTCATAGCTGGTAGTTGATCGAGGGCTTTTCGGAAGAGCTGAGTTGATGTTGAAAGGCACACTGTCTCTGAGTACTGTGTCGGTGATGGAAGAACCCCTTATCTGTGTACATCCCTTGCAGCGAAAAAGAAGGTTGCTTTCCTTTTTGTACGGGTTGATCGTGCATTGTTTGTTGGGCCTTGGCTACGCCCGAGCAATTCTTGTTGCTTCTGCCGTCGACTCTCGCTCTTCAGTAAGCACTCAGGCCACCCAGGCCGGTAAGCACCGAGGCCTAATTACCTCGATATTCGCCATGATAGCGAACACTATCCGCTGAGTAATCCACAGTTACGCGATGAAAAGGAGCCCACGTACGCCTACCTAGGTAGCCTTGGACATTCGTCCGACGCCCCAGCACTGCTGAATTCGGATGGAACCGTTTGTCATCTTTTATCTAAAGTTGCAGTACTCGGGTTGGCGGCTGGAGAGCATTGCGGAGTTAGGAGTGAGCGCCTATAACCGCTGGTTTCCTGACGCGCCATGTCTGAGAAGATTTTGCAGCGTTATCCCAGATCTGGAGCTAGTGCAGAGAGAACCGCATCTTCTAAGGTGATTCGACAACAGAAAGCCTCGGACACATGATGAAGGTAGTCGTGTATTGATGTTATGGCGTGCGAGAGGGAGCAGAAGGCGGACGAGCTGGCAGCCACGCGTTGGGTTCGCGTGCCCCACTCATCCGCCAAGCATCCCCCCTTGTCTACTTCCGTCTGTGGGGTCCGCGGGACCCGTGGGCACGACACGGCTACAACGTTACGGGCAGCGGGACGTTCTTTCTCCCCAGGGAAATTCTGACAGCAATTTTGGCGTCGAAGAGTTTCGCTCTGGAGACATCGGACAAGTCTACATCACTCGACCTAGGGATGGAGAAGACTCTGCGCACGTGACGAAGCCTATATGCGCAACGCCGTCTCGTATCTTCAGGACCGTACTTCACGGAATCTTCGTGCTAATGCGCGACCGCGTCTTTCAACACTTCGAAACAGTCGCTTCTCCACGTATCATCAAATCGCGTGTGATGGTTTTACGGATTGTGCACAAAATTCGCGAGATCTTCGCACAGATATGGGCCAAAAGAAGTTCTCATCACGTTTGTATATTGCTGAAGGAGTACAGTATCTAGAATCTAGCAAAAGGAGCGCTTCGAATACAGGAACGATAGAAGACGCGCAAGCTACTCCATGAAAGGCTTGACCAACTTCAAAGACTTCTCCCACAACAACCTCTCCTTCTCCTCATCGTACGCATGAGGCGCATAACCGGGCTCGTCGGATGCAGGGTCTGGATTGAGTACGCTGGATATCTGGCACTCTTCAAGGTATTTGCCACCCTGGTCTTCCAAAGCCTTCGCGGTAGCCGCCCAGACCGTAGTCGCAGCACCTTGCTGTGGGCTCTTGAGCGCCTTGCCGATGTTGGGGTTCTTATCCCACGACTCCATCGTCTCCTTGTCGATATGCGTCATGAGGCCAGTGAAGATCAACCCGGGATGGACAGAGAACGCTAGTACACCTTCGCTTCCGTATCGGCGGTTGAGTTCGGTAGCGGTGTAGATGTTGGCTGTCTTGCTCTGGCCGTAGGCTGTCCAGGGGTGGTATTCGCCCTCGAGGTTGAGATTGTCGAGATGGATGCCACCCATGCGATGACCGGTCGACGCAAGCATGACAACGCGTGATTTGAACTCCGGGGTGCTCGATTTGACCAACGTAGGAAGAAGAAGTTGGACCAACAGGAAATGAGCCAGGTGATTGGTACCGAACTGGGTTTCAAAGCCATCTGCGGTGCGTCCTTCTGGGCACGCCATGATGCCTGCATTTCCAATGAAGACATTGAGACGATCGTGCTGGGCCAAGAACGAGTCGGCGCATTTGCGCACGCTGGCTAAAGAGTTGAGGTCGAGCTCCAAGAGGTGAACACGGTCGCTCTCTACCAGGCTTCCGAGTGCGGACTTGGCTTTGTTGAGATCTCGAGCCGTAAGGAAGAGCGTCGCACCGGTTTCGAACAACGATTTTGCAGTCTCAATACCAAGACCAGAAGAGCAGCCGGTGATGAGGACTGTCTTGTCCGACCATTTCCCTTGGAGGTTCTCATCTGCGATGATCTGAGAGGCCGTAGGGCGTTGGTCACCGGGGCCGTTGGGCGATTGATGGGCGGATGCGTAACGAGTAGTCATTCTGGCGATTGGTCTTGGGAAGATAGGTAGTGATGGGATGTAGAAACTGTAGTGTTTGATGAGAGCTACAAGAGATGAGAAGTGCTGTTCCTTTATACCCTCTTACCGCTGTCAACTAATGCGCTTCTTGTCCACATCTTGTAAGTCTTTGATCAAAAACCTGTTGTTCAACTACCTAAACTCCGCCATCTGTAAGCAGCTCGGAGACGGTGTCCACGGACACCCTTCGAACACAGCTGAAAGGAAGGGTGCCTTGCTAACATCACCGCTCCTCCGTCTGCATTGACATTCTGTCTCCGAGCTAGTCTTACTAGGGAAGTGCAGTTTACCAACATATACCGGAAATACCGCATAACGCCAGCTGTAACATGTCGACGTGCGGAGTGGGAAGCAAACGTCGGCCCTACTCCTCATCGGCGACACAATTTAGAGGCTTGGCGTAACTACACTCCTTGTCCGATTACTCATCTAGTCAACTTCACATATTGACTACTCGTCGTGTAATACCATCGGTTTCGTGTTGAGGTCGGTCCACCGCTCTTTGCGTCAGGGCGTGGATCAGCCTGAACAATGTATCACATCCTTACGCTCATCGGCGCTTCCAGGTTGAACTCACTTTGCCAACCTTGGAACAGTTGCAATTCGCATTGAAAGTGGTAGCTGCATCAGAAAATGCGCTCAATAGTATCGGTAGCATCTATATGTGAAGCGCGTCGATGAATGTGGTGACTGCGGCAAAGGAGATAACATCATGACGTCACGTCCAGCCTCCCTACGTAGGTACCTGCCTCAACGCAACATCGCTCCTTCCATGCCAGACACATTCTACCAATCTCATAACCCTCCCTAAATGTCGACCCAACTCAAACTACTTGCCAACTACGGCGTGACCGGCTTCCTCCTAAGCACCGGCCTCTTCGCCCTCCTCGCACCCACCACCTTCGCCGCTGGCTTTGGCATGCCCGTTGAGCCCGACACTTTCGCATCTGGTTTCGTCCAATGTATGGGCGGTCGCAACTTAACTTTTGGTATCATCGCGGGCATCTTCTTGCAACGGGGGGATGTAAAGGCCGTCGCGTTGATGGCGACAATGTTGGCGGTGGACGGCTTTGTGGATGGGCTGGTCACGATGAAGTATGCTGGGCTGGGGTTCGCGTTGCCGCATTTTGGTGCGGCGGCGGTTATTCCGTTTGTGAGCCGGTGGATGGCGAGCTAGGCGAACGGGTGGGGATTGGGATAGGGGATGTTAATGGGCTGATAATGGGATAGGCATCATCATCGTACAGTAACATGAATGCGAGACACATGGTCGATGTATTTTGTTGTGCGAACGAGATATCCTGGTACTAGACACTTCTATCTCCTCTTCCTCAACGAGACGGTCTCATCCACTGTCCCAAATCCAAATCGTTCGCCTTTTGTCCCCACGGCGTTCTCATTCACCAATTCTCCGTAGCGAATCTCCAAGCTCTTCAACTCATCAGACATGTCGTTTGTCGCAGCTACTCTCCCTTCCATTACGACTCGGCCCATTCGCGTATCCCCCACAGTAGCCGTCATGATTTGGAGGAAACCGCCATCAGCCGCAGGCACGCGGTTGCGCCAGAGCGACCAGATTGCGATGGCCATAAAGACAGTCGTTGCTGCTAGACATATGCTGTATGGAAGAACGAGATTAAGCGGGCTGCTGAGCTTGTATGTGCTGCGGTATCTCGTACTCGTTACTGGTACCATGTCCCACCAGGTGCCGAGTGAGATGGCAGAAATAGTGACATTCGCCATGAATTCGTTGAGCATGGCCTCAGACAGATTAAGCGATCTTCTTGGGTCGAAGACATTGTTGAAAAGACCGGAGTCCGTTTGGGGGCTTTCGAATCGAGCCGTGTGGAAGATGGTGCCATTGAGTAAGTTCCCTTCGACCTTCATTGCTTTGTGTACTTAGTTGATGCAGCAATCTACTTTGTCTTTTTGTGCTTTACTGACCTCATATCCCAACCAGTATCCGCAATCATAGAATATGTTAGCGCCTGATGAACCCTTTCCCTGTATGCACGCTGGTTGACCGTTTGCTCCTTCCGGGGTTTCCGGAGGCGGATAGCCTGATGAGGGCGGCAAAAGTTCGGGTATTGACAACTGTTGGGTACCCGTTCCTTCGATAAGAGTCCCTAATGTATCTAGAATGGCCCATTCATTGGACATGGGAATAGCCGTGGCCAATCGCTGGTACCAACTTTCGAGTGCTTGTGTCCTTGGTGGAAGTTCGATAAGTATTTCAAGATCCGTACCGAGTAAGTCTGTTTGTTTTAAAACGGACTTTACCTCGCTGAGGGAGTAGTTCACTGTTTGAACGCCGCGTGGAAAGGTGATGCTGACGTTATAAAGGGCAGACTTGGCTTCGCATATCTGTTCTATACGTTTACTGTATGCAGTCCAGAGCAGACTGCCATTCAGGTTATGCTGCAAAGTGTAGTTTCCAATCATGTGCTGTCTCAACGAGTACGTTAGGCGCTCTCGATCCCATGCCGATATGAAAACAGGTACCTTGAGGTATTCCCTGGGACTATAATCAAGGCGGAGAGTGATGTTGTACTGTGAAGTGATACATTCGAAATACGGGCCTCTGAACTGCAGGTCGTACGTTGAGTTCTCTCCTGGATGGCCCGGGAGAGTAAACATCTGGTTGTTGAATTTGATCGCATTTGCAATATACATCAACGGCGGCGAAGGCCCACTGCAAAATTAGATTCGAACACATGGTCGAGGACTTGAGCTTACCCATACGAGAAGTACCGAGTGTCAGGGTTCTGAGGTTCCCCCTCGGCAGACGCCTCTCTTCCGTCGCTCAATGCGGCACCACCCAAGGTGGGGAAATTGACATCGCCAGCAAGATCCAAATTTGGCGGAAGGGGCGGGTTCATAACAGACAAATTATGAAGTTCGGTAATTGTTTGAGCGTCGAAGACTACGGTGAGCGCTCCCGCAGGGTAGATCGTTGCAATTCCAAGGCCCCAAGTCAGAAGTGCCATCAGACACAGTAAAGGCGCGCTGTATATCCCTTGTGGCTTTAGTAGTGCAAATATGTTCGTACGAATAATGAAGAGTATCTCGACTGTCGAAAGCGACATCGCCGGCCCGCGTAGGAGGTACCAGAGGTGTTGCGCAAAGCATGTACCCACGCTGGCTGTCAGTGCAGCTTTGAAGATTGTGCTTAACAATATGGAGACTGCTGAAACCTGAGCCTGTGTAAGAAGACTCGTTTCTACCGCCCTCTCGTTTAGCTGCCTCACGAGCACGTAGTGTCCTAGCGCAGCGAAGAGAGCTCGAAAGATGTCAGTTGGGTTATTCGTATGCGGCAAGCGAGACTGACCTGTAAGAAAGAACCCGAGGATTGTGCCCACAGTCTTCCAGAGTGCCGTCGATTTGTTCTCGCTGTTCCGTAAAGAGGGCTGCACATCGTCCAATTTGTACCAGCCGTGTGCTGAGCTGGAGGGCTTGGCAGGACCTGTATTTTCATTCTGCTGATCTGTTTGTGCCACAAACGTGCTTGCAAGATTTGAAGACGTTTCTTCAAATCTGGTGAACATGCGCAGATCCCGGACTGAAGGTCGCCTGTCGGCAGGACTTGCTGCGTCATCGATGTCGCTATGCTGCGATACAGGGCTATTACCCACTGTTGGTGTGCCGGCACTTTCTTCCATAGCGTCTGGTTTGCATCCACGGAGAGCGAAATAAAACGAAAGAGTAAAGAGTTGGAAGGATGCTCTTCAGCATGGTTATGGGTCTGCATCATGGCAGCACAATTGTGGCTTAGACATTGCGACGGTATTGAGGATTTGCTGACTGCATTGATCCGCGAGGCAGGTACCCAATGCCATAGCGGTTCTCCAGTGTCTTGCTTGTCCGTTATCGTTGGATATATATTGCGCTACGGCAACATGGTGAGTCGAGTGGACGAGAACGTGGGTATTGGCCCCACGCGAGATGTTCGTCGAGGCTTGAGTGGCGCTAATGTGAGTAAGCTGACATCAGTGGATCATGATTGGGTAGCCTACCTGTTACGCAAGGCTGCCCATTTCGCGCTTCAACACCAATGGTCACCACCACACTGCAAAACCGAATGTTCGGAGTAAGTATCAATACTCATAATGGTGTTGGCAGAACTGCACCGCTTGTCGCGACAATGGGAATCGAGATGCTCGGCTGTTGCCCATTCCCACGTATGGAGATTTTCTTCCCGTGCCGGGCTGAGGTTCCTGAGCAAGACAATGCGATGAAGGTAAGTCAAAGGGCCCTTGAAGGACAAGAATGAGTCTGTGAACTGTGAGTGTATCTCCGAGATCGATGCGCATGAACGATGTGTTCGCACTAAGAGGGATTAGCGGCTGTTGACGCAGTGTCCGCAGATCCACATGGGCAGTCACGACACTGGTAAATCTGATCCTCTCCAAGCGCTTCACCACATTTATAATACGTCTAAGGAGGTTACTTAGACCACATTCATCGACGGTGCTGAGTCTTGTCTTTTCACTCAAAGCATGAGCCGCTCACGCGTTACGATAAGTCAGACTTGACCACCCTCATGCCCTCGTACGCCACGAGCTTAATCGTCAACTCATCGATATCTCCCATGAGTCCGTCTCCGACATGAAATCGATGAAGATAAGTCACTCCCTCTCCCTATGTCACCCAGAACAGACCCTCTAGCAGTCCCATACCTTAGGAAGTCATGAACCTACTCACATCTACCAAGTCATATTGCGTGACTGGGTACGAGTATAAAGAGCGCTGGGAACGATGGCAGAGAATAGACATCAAAGTACTCAATACACATCCTCTATCTCAAGCTTTCAAATCGTAATACCGAAGAATTCCAAAGTCTTATCCAACACCTGAACTCGAACTCTACTACAACCGCACACCAACCAATAGTCCACACGAGGAAGCAAATCGTAATCGGACACCATGCCGCAATGCTATTACAGGACCGGAGGAATTTGTGTCCAGGCCCCTGGTGTAACGACAGACGCCGGAAGCGTAGTCTGTGCTTATTGCGCAGCGTCTCTCCCTCAAGGATTGTCGCAAAAGTTGCAAGAGAGAGTCACACGAAATAAGGTTAGCAGCCTGACAGCTCCTCAATTGCAAACCGTCATCGATCGACAATGGTGCTCGGACAATCTCGATGCAAATGGCAGGTACGCCTGTGCATCTCGGCAGCTACGATTCAAGGGCGTGAAAATCACGTATGCGGACAGGGAATTCTGCAACGAAATGGCGACGGCGAGGTTCACCATGAATCGGAATTCGGCGATGCCACACTATTTGCCATGCGACACCGTTGGTAACAAGGATAAAGTGTGCTGGACCTGTAGGGAAGCTGCAGAGTATCATTCAAGCGGCAGAATGGTTCTGTTTGTTAACGACGAGAACCCCGACCCCAACTGGGATGAGAGGAGGACCTTGACCGACGTACTTCTCAACAAAGTAAACGGTATCTAGTCGATGTATGAACGAGCACTGGTTTCATTTGGACAACACGGTGGCTGTTGGGGGTCTAAGCCTTCACCTGTTTCCAAATTGAGCGGGCAATTTGGTTCTCTTATTCTTCCAGGACACATCCGTGCGAGGCATGTCCATTTCATTGAGACAGTCATTTCCAAACAGTCATCGACACAACTGTGGGGGCCAGGGATATTTCCTATGTTGTATGTCAATATTACCCGTGCAAAGCACGGTGCAAGGAACAACAACCATATGTACACAATCAATTGACGGAGGATTTAATGGGGATGTTTTGTATATTATATATTCATAGAAACAATCAACCACTATCATTGAACATCTACTAAATCGAAGTGTCCTGCCAAAGTTATTGGCGAAAGAATGCACGAGATTCACCTTGTCAGGGGCGGATATCGAAAGGGCATGGAGATCAGCGCAGCGCAGGCTCGGTGTAACCACACCACCAACAATCATTGAAAGAACAGTCACACAATGCATGCTTGCCGCATCTTCCAACAAGAATCCTAGACAGCAGATCAGTATATCGACAGTCATATAATGAAGCATTGCCCCATGCTGCAACAAGCAGCCAGGACAGTAGATCACTTCATTCGACAGTCATACAATGCCTGGCCCCCAATGCTCCCAACAAGCACCCCGGCTAACAAATCACCACCAACAGTACATCATCGTCAATAAACGCGATACCTTGAATTCGTTGAACCCGCCTCCCTCGCTAAAGATGCGGAAACAGAACTCATACTCAGCAGCAAATACTCTAAAACAATGCGATGCGATGCACTCAACCCAGCTTAAAAACCCACAGCAAGCATCAACCCATACCCAACCGTAATAATAACACAGAAAGTAATAATACTCGCCGGCACACCTCTCGTCAAGAAATGCTTAACAGCAAGATACCTCTGTCCAGTACGTTGATCTTCCATCATAATAGCAGCTACAGTTGGTCAGCATCATATTACACGCCCAAGAAGGAAGGAGGAACTTACTCATATTAGGAAATCCACTAGTCGGCAGCCCCATCGCCCCACTAGCCATCAACACCGCGCCCATAACCAGCAGATTAGGATGCGGTTCCGGCATCTGCTGCCCGACCTGCTGTACAAGCGGGAGCACAATAAGCGCCGCAACGGTATGACTGATGAACGTAGCAACCACACCGATCAGCGCGCAGAAGACGACGAGAACGCCGTACAGACTCATGCCCTCGACGCCGGCAGTGATGGACTCCGCGATCGTATGCAACAACCCCGATGAATTAACCGCTTTACCGAGGGACAAGCCACCAGCGGCGAGGATGATGATGGTCCAGAGGAAATTGTTGAAGTCCTCTTTAGTCAGGATGCCGGTGCCAAAGAAGAGGACGATGGGGATGATGGCCACGACGCCCATGTCGCCGAAGATGGATTCAAGCTGGTGGCTCACGCACCACAGGACGATAGTGACGAGGGTGACGACGCTAATGAACCATTGCACGCCGGTGAACTTGTCTTTCAAGGGGCGGATGGGCACGATGCTGGTGCCGCGGCCGGGTTGGAAGGTGATGAGGAGGAAGACCCAGATTAGCAGGATGGAGATGATGCAGACGGGGAGTGCGACGAAGAACCATACGCCCCAGGAAGGTTCTGGGTGCATGTTTTGCAGCGCGATTAGGTTCTGGGGCGAGGCGATGGGGGATGCGGCGCCGCCGATGTTGGAGGAGAGGGCGATGCCCATGAGCAGCGCTTTGGTCATGTCGGAATCGGCGGGGAGGTTACGGAGGATGGGCTGTGATGTTAGCTTGGTTAGGAGGGCTTGGAAGGTGTTGACGTACCTGGATGATGGAGAAGCAGAGCACAGGTGCGGCAACATTGCTGATCCACATACTGGCGAACATGGCGACGAACATGTTGACTACAAGGACGGTTCTTGGCTTCGTTCCGGCCTTGCTAAGGACAAAGGTAGCCATCATCTTGGCGATGTTGTACTTTGATAGCGCAGCAGCGATTGTGAAACCACCGAGTAGCAGCATGATGACTGGCGTCCACATAGCAGAAAAGACGTAAGATGCGGCTGCCTTGGATTCCAGTCTCCGGTGGGGTTCCACGTCGCTTCGTACTACGTTCAGTGTTACTGCGAGGAAAGGTACCAAAAGCGAGGTGACGAAGAGAGGTATAGCCTGTCGTGGTTAGCATAGGACTGAAGTTTACGGACGTTTCGCATACCTCGGTGGCCCATAGTAAACTGACAAAGATCACCATGGCCAGACAGTTCTGCTGCTCAGGCGCCTCCATAATGGGCACCACGAGCAGCACGACGAAGACCGCTATGCAAGCAAGCAGAATCCAAAAGGTCCTGCTGACGAGCCATTGCGGGCACCGATATCTTCCAATCGGCGTATCCACCTCCTTCATGTCTGATTCGACCTCGTCTCCCTGCCGCCTGATCTTGCCGCCCGTCGTGTCGCGTCCGAGCAGTGTATGGCTAATACCGATATTGGCCGCTTGCGCTTTCCGTTCGATTCCAATCATCTCTCGCCAGACTGTGTTTCTCTCCCACACGACGTGTTCCCGCAGATGCAGTCTCAGCTCGCGCTTCGCCTCTACAATGTCGCCCTTGGTGCCAATCTGCGCGTACGCTTCTTCCATGCGCTCGAGGTTCCGCGTGAGCGTGTCCATGGTACTTTGCTGGAAGGGATATGCCGGGTAGACGTATTTGTTCAGGTATGTCTTTTTGAGTTTGCGGTCCATGATCTTGTCGTACTTCTTCAGCACCTTTTCGAAACCCGTCTTGTTTAGCTGGATGAAAGATCGCAGCTCGCACAGCAAAACGTAAACACTGACGGCCCGCTTCTTAAGCGACACGCCTTCGTCGTACAGCGCTGAGAAAGCCATGTCGTTGTAGTCCTCGAATGCGACGCTCGTCTTCCGTCTTGAGGACACGTGCGAGGCTGCCATGTCTTCGTCGGTGGTCCGTCTGCGTCGCCGTTGACCGTCTGGGCTCTTCTTACGCAGCTGTGCGGTCTCGTCGACGTCTTCGTCCGAATCGTCCTCGTCTCCATCTGCCTCTGCGCCGTGGTCTGTTGACCGTCCGCTGGCACCGCTCATTGCCCGCGGTCGGTTGAAGCCGATGGCCTTGAAGACGCTTCCACTGCGCATCTTCTTCCCTGGCGGCGCATTCTCGTTCTCCTCATTATACTCTTCCTGGTGGTACTCGAACAGCTCCTCGTCCTTGAGCAGGGCCTCCATCTCCTCGAAGATCTCATTCTCCTTGAGCTTGTAGAAGGACGTGACGCGTTCTAGTTCCGTGTCGAGGGTATTCGTGAAGACCTTGTCTGGATCATCGGCATCCCCGTTGAGGAGTGGTGAGGACTCGGCATCGGTATGCGCCTGCTTCTGGTTGAGCTGCGTCTCAAGGCTGTATATTCTGTATATAGTCTGTCAGCCCTGATCTTACTAATACTTCTTGCTTCCTTCTGAGACGCGCCACGTACTGCTTCTTGAGGTTGCTGTAGGCAATGTAGTGGTTGCTCCAGTCCGGCACTGCATTGAACTGCAGGCTGTGGGAGAACTTCATCTCGTCGGCCTCGCGAAGCTGCTCGAGCTTCTCCCGTCGCTTTTGTTCCCTCTTGGTCTCCCGCCGTGTCTCTTTTGGGGTAGGGTCGAGTGGTTGAAGCTCAAAGGCTTGGATGGGCGCAGCGTCACGGTAAGGGCTCAAGGCGTCCAGGGTGGAGGCTTGCGGGTTGTGGAGGGAGTGTTAGGCAGTCTCCAGCGAGAAGACGCTACGGCAGGCAGGCTAGAGGGCGTAGTCGCAGGCGGTCAGGTGGCGTGCAGCACGTGGAAATGCGGCATTGAGATGTGTGGGATTGGCGCGGAACCTTTCTCGGCGCTGGCCTGAAGATGTGGATGCGCTTTCGTCACCGCACACCAGGGCCGCGCCGGAACACATGGGCCGGTCATTGGCCCTCCGCCGCGCTCCCGCACCCACACCTCCCACGCCCATACGCTGTCTCGGGATACGCGACAGGTAGCGTCTTCGTCCATCGTCACGCGCCTAAACCCCACGTCCATGGGAAGCATCATATGTCTCGTCTTCAGTGGAACCTTTGCATGTCTTCGCGATGGCCCGCTCCTGGCCGCGGCTAGTCATTGCCTGCATCCCACCCATGCCGAAACCACTCGACCTGCATCATCGTTGCGCATAGCTCGCCCGCAATCCTCTGCGCCAATCACGCTTCAAAACGTGTGACGTCTGGTAGATCGTTTGTTGAGCCTCACTTTCACGAAGACCATGTAGAAAAGCGTATAGCGAACATTGCTTGAACTTTTATTCACTTTTGGGCTATATACAATCATTTGCGTGAATAACATCATCGTTTAAACTGTAGAATTTTAGCAATGTTCAGTCATCTTGGATACTGTCAGACTTACACCTCAGGTCCCAGCCAATCTTGGGTCCTAGCTTGGGCAGCTCCTCCGCGACACTCTGCACGTCCTTGTCACCACGTCCAGAGACACAGATGACAATGTCCTGGTCCTTGTTCATTGTCTTGGCCAGCTCAATGGCACCAAAGACGGCATGCGAGGTCTCCAGCGCCGGGATGATACCCTCGAGCTGGGACATCAGACGGAAGCCGATGAAGGCCTCGGCATCGGTGCAGGCAATGAACTTGGCACGGTCGCTGTCCTTCCAGCTGGAAAGCTCTGGGCCAACACCGGGGTAGTCGAGACCAGCGGAGACCGAGTGAGTCTCGCTGATCTGTCCGTGCTGGTTCTGGATAACGTAGGTACGCACGCCGTGAAGCACGCCCTTGGTTCCAGCGGAGAGTGTTGCACTGTGGCGGTCTGTGTCGATACCGTCACCACCAGCCTCAATACCGAGAAGCTTAACAGACATGTCCTTCGAGAAGGGGTAGAACATGCCCGCGGCATTGCTGCCACCACCAACGCAGGCGACTACAGCGTCGGGGAGCTTGCCACGCTTGGCTTGCATCTGCTCCTTGGTCTCGTTTCCAATGATCGACTGGAAAGTACGGACGATCGTAGGGAAGGGGTGAGGACCGATGGCGGATCCGATAATGTAGTGGGTTGTGTCGAGGTGGACGACCCAAGCGCGCATGGCCTCGTTGACGGCGTCACGGAGGGTCTGCGCACCAGCCTCAACAGCAACAACCTGAGCACCGAGCAACTTGATGCGGAAGACGTTCAGGGCTTGACGCCTGACATCCTCGGCACCCATGTAGATGGTGCACTTCATATTGAACTTGGCGCAAACGGTGGCTGTCGCAACACCGTGCTGGCCAGCTCCAGTCTCGGCAATAATCTCAGTCTTTCCCAGTCTCCTGGCAATGAGTACCTGTCCGAGGGCGTTGTTGATCTTGTGACTTCCGGTATGGTTCAAATCCTCTCTCTTCAACCAGATGTTAGCACCTCCAGCGTGCTCAGTAAGGCGCTCGGCAAGATGCAAATGTCCTGGTCTGCCCATCCAGTCGTAGTAGGATCGGTACTCTTCCCAGAACTTGGGGTCTTCGATCGCTGTGTTGAAACCTTCCTCGAGCTCAGAGAGACAATCCATGAGAGATTCAGGCACATATTGCCCGCCAAACTCGCCGAATCGTGCGGGGAACTTGTGCTTCTCGTCAAATCCGTTCTGCTGGTTGGTTCCATTTGCGCCGTCCGTCTCGTCAGTGTTCAGCATCTCCAGTTGGTCGGCGAGACCGGGGCCATCTGGTGTGTCGGCATCTGTGATGACCTTGTCGACATGGACGTTGGTGGGCTCCTTGGCCTCGTTCAATGTCTCGATAATGCCGACCTCACGGGTTGTATCGCGGGTGCTCTTGCCGCAGATCTCGTCGCAGTACTTCTCAACTGCCTTTGCGCCCTCGCCTGCTGGAGCCTTGATCAATGTGTTGATGATCTGGGAGCCAATGACGACACCCTCAGCGATCTTGCCTACGCTCAGGTAGTGGTCGCGTGTGCTGACACCGAAACCGACAGCTGCGGGGACATTGCCAGAGTATTTGTGGACGCGCTCGAGGAGCTGGGGAAGGGCAGCGTTCATTGTTCCGCTGGCGCCGGTGACGCCCATACGCGATACGACATAGATGAAGGAATCGGCGATTTTGCAGAGGACGCGCATGCGGTGCTCGGAGGTAGCGGGTGCGATGAGGGGGACGTAGGAGAGACTGTCCGGTTAGTATTCATCCCAAGCTTGTCCGAATGGAGTGCTTACCCGTAGCTGCGGCAGAAGTTCCTGAAGCGCAGAGCCTCCTCCGGTGGCAGGTCGACCATGATGAAGCCGTTGGCTCCGGCCTCTTTCGCATCCTGCAGCATCTTCTCCTCGCCGTAGCTGAGCAGCGGGTTGTAGTATCCCATGAGGAGGACTGGTGCCTTCAGACCCCGCTTCCTCGCGTCGCGGATCATCTGGAGAACATGGCCAATTGTGACGCCGTTCTTGAGGGCTTGCTATAGACACATGGTGTCAGGGAGGTTTTCCAAGGGATTGTGGCGAATGAGTCAACGTACAGTGTTGGCGGTCTGGATTGCTGGGCCGTCGGCAATGGGGTCGGTGAAGGGCATGCCGAGTTCAATGATGTCTGCGCGTGTCAATTGACTGTCGTCGCTTCGTTCGGGGCAGCAATTGCTCGTCCTACGTACCAGCACCTCCGGCCTCCATGGCCATCATGATGTCTGGCGTCTCCTCTGCCGTGGGGAAACCCGCCGTCACATAGGTGACGAGGGCAGACTACACGAATGTCAGCCTAGTCGTCTCTTCCTGCTCGTGCCAGATCATACCCTGCCTTCCTTCTTGCATTGCGCAAACGTCTTCTTAATGCCGTCCATGTTGCTGAATACCAAGTCGAGAAGTTGGAGTGTGTGACAAAAGCGCAAAGCCAGAAGCTGACTTCCTTATAGATGAAACAACTGTGAGTCACAGTATGGGCAGTCGTAAGGGTGCGCGGAGATATCGGGGTCTGGTATGAGTCTTGTGTTCGCAATTTATTGAGGGCCGAAGGCGGCGTAATGCCCCTCCTCTCCGGCATTAGCGGCTCAATGGGGGAAGGCGCGCGAACATCATTCCTTCTAGAAGCAAGTCTTACCAAACTCCACACTTTTTTCAACTCATACACGTCATTGCGAGACTCTTTTGTACATTAGACTACCCAACCCCGTTTTTGAATTGATGGTAACCCGGTACATTAGCTACATGTGTAGATACAGCATATAGCTCGGTCTTTGGCACCTGTCGCCTTGGCCATGACGGTATCCAGAACCGCCTTCATAGATGGCCAAGAGCGATTCCTAAACAGCCGCGTCCTTCAGAACTTTGTCCTCATTCACCGTGTGGTCCCCATTAAAGTAATCCCCAAGGCCGCGTTGGTCCAGGAACCTCAGACAGTTATCACAGAAGGTGTCTTCCTTTGCCGTTCCCCCGCAGGAGATCAGGCCCGGCTTTTCGGGATAAGTCAGACGATTACAACGTTTCCAGCTTTCGACCACCAGTGCCGCCATCTTGGTGCGCGCGTATCGCTCCCGGCGGGTAACGCATGTGTGGGGGTCCTCGTTCATTGCGTCGATCTCTTTGAAGAGATCATTGAACCCCGGGTTCTTGCTTCTCCATAGGAATGTGGTAGCGGGATGGACGTGTTCACAGTTCGCGCATAGCGTTGTGCTGGGGGCGTTGGCGCGACATTTGTCCCATTTCTTATGAAGCGCGCAGGCTCGGATTTCGTTCGTCATGTTTCTTGGGTGTGGGTGGTCTGGCTAGGCTCTGTGATGATTGCGAGATCGCTGACGTGTTCGGTGTCGACTTGCACGAAGCGGATGGGAGAAGGTATGAGGCACTTTGTAATAGAGGTTTTAGTAGAGAGGCTTGTATTTGCTAAAGTTAAGAGTTATGGCTCGACAGAAAGCAAAACCGGGGCGGATTCTGTCACTACAAACATGATGTATGGTATGACTAGGAATTGTGACTACTCAAAGGTTCAGTCATACATCGCGGTGGCATTGCGCCTCGCACAGACATATACGTGCTCCGCCAACATGACTCCCTCTGGCAGCGACCCTCACCAGTATCTGCTTCGTTCACTTCTCACAAGCTCAATGTAAACTCCAGTCATACGCAGCATAGCTGTCTTTGCCATTGCAGGACTATCTATTTTATTGCGTACAGCAGCTTGCCGACCTCATGCTCCCCCTACATACAAAGTCCACCACTATGGCCCAGCGGGTACGCTTCTTGTTACGCGATCTTCGCCAAAGTATTTATCAATGACCTCTTTACCGCTTGGCTTCTTTCGATAGAACTCGTAGTCGCTAGCGCATATCTGATGTTTCCCAAGCACCCGCTGACAACCTTTGGGACCGCAGTGTTTGAATCGTTCTTCCCATAAACCGGCCAAGGCATTTTCTTCTGGTTTCTTCTGCATCCTGCACTCGTAAGTGACCCTTCCTTCCTGGGTAAACACCTTCTTCTGCTGCTTCGATCCCTCTTTCTCAATAAACTCATTGACCTCGTCGTAGCAGTGCATGACTTCAACACATTCACGGCAAAGCGCTAACGGGTCATCTACTGGTTCGCAGATGATGATGTGGGAGAAGCGCAGGCGGTTCTCCTCCTTCTCCCAGTTGTGATGTGTTCTTGCTAAGAGTAGTCTCTCGAACCATGCGTTATTGACGTCGTAGTCACCTTGCTTGAGGTGATGGAGATAACACAACGACCGCCCAGCAGGAGGCCGCGACGCATCTTCCTTGAGCTTTCTGAACTGGTCATCCAGATTTGAATCATGGACGCGATGTTTTAGACCACGTCTCAGATAACGGCGATCCTTTATATTTTCTTCCAGGAGATATGGGTGCTGTCTGACGCAATAGTAGCAAGGCTCGTCTGCTACTCCATCTGCGTCGGCAGCGCATATACCCCGATCAAATTTGAAGAAAGAGCAGCGCATGTCTTCGTCTGGGCCGGCGGCTGGCGTCCCTTCTTGTATGTACAATGACATGCTGAAGAAATCGTTCGCTTGTCGTCGCTTCAAGGTTGAAGTTTGTGCTGAAGGATAGGTAAAAGTTTGGATTAACGGCCAGCTCTATTTTGTGGCGAAGTGCTCAAAAAAGGCTCGAAGCACTTGTGGTGTTGCTAAATAGCTGGACTGAGTCACATTGGTTCCAGTAACACGGATAGTCATTGCAGGAGTCACTGATGGCACGCACCAACTCCAACACTATGACCCCTTCGCAAGACCATCAAGATCCATCGCGATGCCTCCTCCTTTGCCATCGCGCATAGTTAACTCCCCATTTACTAACCGATAAATGGAATGTTTACCACCCCTTCAAAAGACGGTAGCGCAGACTTAAACACGTTCAACACAGAAAGTTTGAACTTCTGGGTAGTCGACAAGCCGACATCAAAGGTCCAGTAGCAGCCCACCAGACAGCCCACCCACCCGCTCTAAGAATAGTCGAACAAAACGTGATTGCTAAAGACCCAAACTCGAAATAACGACTGCTCATAGGACCCGGTGAGCATGCAGTCCAATCAGGACCGCTCGAGAAAACCGTCCGGAGAAAGTCGACTCGCCTGATGAGTCTACCAACCCTTGTCGCGTCAAACTGCCGCTCTAATTCCCGCCGACGCCGTTTTTTCTTCTCTGCAAGATATCTGTGCAAGAGGTAAGTCAGCATCAAGATAGCTTTTGAGTATCGACTAACCTGCGTTTGACACGCATCCAGTCGCGCCATACCATCCATCCGAAGAGGAGCTTCTTTGTGAATTTGCCAAGAGACAATTCGCTAGAAGCAGCTCGTGTGACTTCAATTCTCCCACAGACTACATCTTCTTCTAGTGCATGCTGCTGTCCATGAATCCTGAGTAGGTTCCAAATCAGCGTCGGGAATAGGTCATCCCAAAACATCATCTCGATCTCGGCAAACTCCAGAGGAAGTCTTGTTAACGCCCGCGCGATTTCACCGAGTTCTCCATCAGCAAGGTTTGTATCCAGGAATAGAGCGGAGAGGGTACAGATGCAGGACATTTCTGCACGAGTCAAGGTTGTGGGCATAGTGTGTGCGATGGTGTATCGGCGAACACCTGCGCGAGAATCTTATTGAGAAGAAGAGATAAGTGATGTGTGGGGAAATACGTAGTATTTTTCCTAGCGAAGAAGATAGCTTCGTAGAGGGTCCATGGGTACCGCGGTTCGGGTTGGATTCATACATCCATACGCGAGCGACTCCCAGCGATCCGGCCAATTCCTATATCATTACACTCTCGAATAAAAGACAGCACAAAACTATCACTGTCACGATAAGTACAGCCAGCCAGAACCATACAGGCGTCCTTTCCCTACATTCCGACGTACTTTGTCCATATCGATTAGCAATAGAGTTGGCCTGCAAGCCCCCAGGCCAGATGTATGCACACCGATAGTCGACCAGTTTCTAGTTCACTCATGCGAAAACGGTGATTACCGAAACTCAAAGGAAAAGGCCGTTCAGAAGGGATGCAAGGTATGCTACCGCAAAGCTCGACTCAGCCGCGAGATTTACTACTATGCGCCTGCTTCTTAGCCCGTCTGCCAGCTGAGATAATGTGCCTTTTGGGGTCCATCTTTGCGTTGGTATTTCCCGCGGAGAATTCAACTTCTTTATCTCGATGTGCTTGTTTTGCGAAGCGATCGTAGCATCCAGTAAGCGAAACGGCTTGCGGCTCCCTTGCAATGTGCCGTTTCCTATGTGTCGGTGTTGCTGTTTGGCTTTCCGATGCGGAGGAATGTGCTATAAGCACTAGTCGTGTCGTCGTATCAACCGCACTGTCAATACGATAAAGCTGTAAGGGGCGGCCTGCCTCTGACTCCGTGCCAAAGGTGAGCACCAGAAGCAGTAGCCGTAGGTGTGGTACTGTCGCATTTCCGGAGACCTCATTGTCGTTCGTCGGTGATAAGCTCGTGCGCCGATCCAGGGCTGTGATTGAACCTCATCTGAGGTGTACAGAAAATGTATCGAGGGCACTCGACGAGATGATTGACTCAGATCGGTTCGTCGATAGCGCTGCGATCACACCCCATAGTTTCGGCGCAGTATGCCCCACTCCGTGTCGAAGTACCGCCCAAACCCTCGAATCTCGCACATACGATTGAAACACTTCTGACAAAGCTGATTCCTAAACCTCGTCCTGTCACAGCGTCCATCTCTCCTTGGATCCTTTTCCCAGCTTGGGTCCGCCTCACCCTGCTGATTCCGCGGTCCAATTTTCCAGTTGCTGTCGACGGGTCGTCTTAGTCGTGGGTCCTCGAAGACACACGGGAACCCCACTCGGTCGCCATCGAATTCCGAGAGCCAATGGCAGGCTTGCTCTCGTGCTTTGCGGTAGCATCGTGCACACAGCTGTCCGCGATGCCGAACTGTGCCACAGAGGCGAGAATCTTGGGGGTTGAAATCGTTGCGCCATGCTGAGAAGCGAAATTCTGGGTCTTTGCAGGCGCAGAGATATGTCCAGCCTTTTCTGATGCGTTCGGAGCTGTCGCGCTCAAGCTGGTGCCTGTAGACATCGATGCGGTACCTCAGCAACGGCTTGTCTGGATGTGCTTCGGCCTGCTTGTACAGTGCGTCGAAGCTCATGTTCTTGCACCATGAACATATATCTGTTCCTTGTTCTTGTCCTCCTGGACGTGAGCCACATGCGGTACCGAATGCACAGTGTGGCTTCGGCGGCGGTGCTAGCATGACAAGCAGGTCGTACAGTGGTACACCTTGTCTGTTAGCGTGGCCGACAACCTAGCAGAGCGACTTACCAGGTCAGGTTCTGGTATGGCTTCAACTCGTTATTGTGTTGTAGCCTTCCA